TGAAGTGGTTTGTCACCTCCGGATATCCCAGAAAATGTGTTTGTTGAGCTTATGCCATTCGCTACTATGTCTGTGAAGTTTAGCTTTAACAATTTTATGTACAGACAGATTGATGGGGTTGCCATGGGCTCCCTTTTGGGTCCAGCTTTGGCCAACATTTTTTGTGGGATTTTATGAGTCGTCCCTCCTCACTTATGATAATGCACCGTCTATGTACCGTCGGTATGTGGACGATACATTTTGTCTTTTTAATAGTGAAGTGGAAGCAGATTCCTTTCTCACAGTTATGAACCAACTTCATCCATCTTTGAAATTTACCATCGAAAGGGAGTCTAATTCTTGTCCCTCTTTTCTTGATGTCCTTGTGCATCGAACTCCTTCTCAATTTCTTACTTCGGTGTTTCGCAAACCAACGTTTTCTGGTTTCTATATGCGTTGGGACTCTTTTGTCCCAGAAAGCGTAAAATCAATCTCATCAAGACCTTAACTCATAGGGCCTTGATGATTCGCGGTGAACAATATTTGGATGAACAGATACTACAGCATGATCGGAGTTACCAAGAGGGTAGAACTGCGTGGCGCTACAAGATTCGGTATGGAGGTAAAACACAGATCGAGAAGAGAAGCCTTACCTTCCAGGTTGAGGGCAAAACGCGTGGGGAAGTTAACTATCTGCGTGAAGGATTGAGAAATTGAGAAATTAAGTGTTTGAATGCCTGCCCGGTCAGTATCACAACCTATTCTTCATTTTCCTCGCTATCAGTTTCTGCAGGGTTAATTTCAATTACTGTTTTATCAAAAATAAACATATTTTACCTTCACTTATTTTGTTCTTTCTCAATAAACCCTTTTTACATATCTACCCCCTTTCTTCTTGTCGTTGTCACTCTTTCTCTCTCCCTCTCTCTTGCTGTATCCTCTTTCTTTCTCTTACACACTCTCTCACTTTCTTCCTACATCTGTTTCTCAGTCCTTTTCTCTCTCTCGCTCTCTTTTTATTCACCTCTTAATCACAGTCTGTCATGATGAAAGATCGGGTACAGATAGCATTTTCCGCGTTGCGAACAATTTTCTTACAGTTTATGATCGATTACTCACTCGTGATAGGAGAACAACTGATCGATTATAGCTAACATTGACGTTTGATTACATCGGCCATCTCTAAATATCTCGAAAATATAAAAAAGAAATTTACATAGTGATCATCTTTCTAAAGGTCTGAAATCGCACATTTCTACTAGAATGTATTGTTATCTCCAAAAAGAAAATGTTAAAGAAATAACCTGCATGATGGGCAAGTCAAAATTATATAGATATAGACAATTCACTGCCTGTGTAGTGTCATAACAAACAAAAATATGATACAGAAGTCTAAAGGCGAATAGGAATAGCGAAAGATGCCTTCCAGAAATTAAGCAAAATATTAACAGAATAGAAACAAAGCAAATATATCAGACACCATATGTAATTTCCGTGAGAACTGAATAAGTTGTAAAATTTAAATCTTTAAATGAAAGCTGGAATTAGCTTCATACCCGTAAGTGTAGAGCAAGATTAAAAAGTATTAGGTATAGATTTTTAAAAAATAAAGCCATGTACCTCAGGGACGTAGGTTATTATGGCTCATCACAGATACCTTTTTTTATTATCTCTTAAATATGCTTTCATTAGAAACTTGATGGAGTTTTTCCGGCTCCCTTTGCTAAGGTTTAGAATTCAGAGTTTTTTTTTTGTTTTGTTTGTTTTGTTTGTTTTGTTTTTCTGTTAGAATGGTTACCGCCCAAGGCGAGAGTCCACGGATAGAGCTTCTGTTTAAACAATAGCTATGAGAAGAGATGGATTCATGCCTTTCCCAAGCGAAATATTACGAATAAACGGAAATTGAACTCAGTTTATTGATTTAGCTTTCTTACCTGTAAAACGTTACACTATCTGCACATCCAAGTTTAGATTAAGCTTATAAAAATAGCTACAGCGCTTCAGTTCTTCACCTGCATTGGTAAACATAAATATTATTTACGACCGAATTGTTGCAAATTTAACAAAAAGCATGGAAATGTTGAAACGTTCTTGAACCGACCAATGAGAAATTTTTTTAAAACTTCTTTCGATCATTTTAGCAGATTTGCGAAAAAAAAATGTGTTGAGTCTAGAATTTATCAACAACCTCCCCGCCCCGCAGTAAACAAGAAAGAGGAAAAAAAAAGAGTTAGACTGTTTTCGCTTCTGTAATAAAAATAAATTACGTAAAATAGATTTATTCTTATCAACAGTTCCAAAGCAACAGGTAACTAAGAAGGCCTACAAAAATGTTACGCTTTTCTCGATGGACGCAACTTGAGTAAAAATGACGTGCTTTTTAGAATCTGGAAAGCGTTTTAACAAACGGCGGTAAATATAAGATTGAAATCTGCATTTGAATAGCAAAAGTTGTCTTCCAAAAATTAAACAGTATATTAAGAACCAAGAATATCTCTTAAGAAAAAAGAATGCCGAACTGCGACCAATTATTATATAAATCAGTAAATTCTAGCCAATATCCTCGCAGATGAAGCTGAGATTGGAAGTATGAGATAATAGCATCGAGGGAGGATGTGAGTAACTAAGAAGTTTTAAGGAAAATAGAAACAATAAGGGCACCTATACTCAGAATCAGAAAGAGTCAGTTGAATTTTCTAGGAAATAATAAGGAAAGAGGACTTGGAGAATATGATACTCATAATGCATACGGTAAGCAAGAACAGCTGGGGAAAAACAGTAAGTAAACTATTTAAAATATTCGGACTATTGTACTCAACTTTGTTGCCATATTCATCATAACGTTTCGGCCGTTGTACGCTCCAGACTTCTTCAGGTGGTCGGAATGTCGTGGAACTAAGGTAAGACTTCAAGAACACCAGAAAGCTGTAACACGAGTGGAAGTGTAAAAATCTGGTGTGGTTGGCCGCATATGGAGAGAAAAGGGCGATCAGAAGGCGTGGCTGACTTTCATATAGAGAAAATGGAAATCACCGCCCTCTGTGGGATCAACTTGAGATAATAGACAAAGAATATCATTGGAAAATACGTAAAGTTAAGGAATCAGCACATATGCCAGGCCAAAAACTCACCTGAGCCGACCAAGCATAGAAATGAATACAATATGGAAGCCAGTAATAAGGAGTGCCAGAGAAAATCAATAATAACAACAAAAATCACAAAATGACCTCTGGTAAAAAACATATAATGATAACAGCAAAAATCTCAATATGATCACTGGTAAAATGGTTGCTGAAGACATTAAGTTTATAATACCCAGAAATTCCTCATCACAGATGTCCTCAATCTCATTATCTGTCGGTAGAAGCCCATCTCACCATCCGTTGTCAGAACCACATCTCATCATCATTTGGCAGAACCACATCTCATCATCCATTGGCAGACCCACATCTCAGCGTCCATCCGTAGAAGCCCATCTCAGCATTCGTTGGCAGAACAACATCTCATCATCCGTTGGCAGAACCACATCTCAGCATCCATCCGTAGAAGCCCATCTCAGCATCCGTTGGCAAAACCACATCTCACATGCATAGGCAGAACCACATCTCAGCATCTGTCCGTAGAAGCGCATCTCATTATCCGTTGGCAAAACATCTCAGCATCCATTGGCAGACCCAAATCTCAGCATCTGTCCGCAGAAGCCCATCTAGGCATTCGTTGGCAGAACCACATCTCACATGCATAGGCAGAACCACATCTCAGCATCCATCCGTAGAAGCCCATCTCAGCATTCGTTGGCAGAACCACATCTCACATGCGTAGGCAGAACGACATCTCAGCATCTGTCCGTAGAAGCCCATCTCAGCATTCGTTGGCAGAACCACATCTCATCATCCGTTGGCAGAACCACATCTCAGCATCTGTCCGCAGAAGCCCATGTCAGCATTCGTTGGCAGAACCACATCTCATCATCCGTTGGCAGAACCACATCTCAGCATCTGTCCGCAGAAGCCCATCTCAGCATTCGTTGGCAGAACCACATCATCCGTTGGCAGAACCACATCTCAGCATCTATCCGCAGAAGCCCATCTCAGCATTCGTTGGCAGAACCACATCTCAAATGCATAGGCAGAACCACATCTCAGCATCTGTCCGTATAAGCCCAACTCAGCATTCGTTGGCAGAACCACATCACATCATCCTTTGGCAGACCCATATCTCAGCATCTGTCCGCAGAATCCCATCTCAGCATTCGGTGGCAGAACCACATCTCACATGCATAGGCAGAACACCATCTAAGCATCCATCCGTAGAAGCCCATCTCATCATCCGTTGGCAGACCCATATCTCAGCATCTGTCCGCAGAAGCCCATCTCAGCATTTTTTGGCAGAACCACATCACATATGCATAGGCAGAACGACATCTCAGCATCTGTCCGTAGAAGCTCATCTCAGCATTTCTTGGCGGAACCACATCTCACATGCCTAGGCAGAACCACATCTCGGCATCCATCCGTAGAAGCCCATCTCATCATCCGTTGGCAGACCAATATCTCAGCATCTGTCCGCAGAAGCTCATCTAGGCATTCGTTGGCAGAACCACATTTCACATGCATAGGCAGAACCACATCTCAGCATCTGTCCGCAGAAGCCCATCTCAGCATTCGTTGGCAGAACCACATCTCATCATCCTTGGCAGAACCACATCTCATCATCCATTGGCAGACCCACATCTCAGCGTCCATCCGTAGAAGCCCATCTCAGCATTCGTTGGCAGAACAACATCTCACATGCATAGGCAGAACCACATCTCAGCATCCATCCGTAGAAGCCCATCTCAGCATTCGTTGGCAGAACCTCATTTCACATGCATAGGTAGAACCACATCTCAGCTTCTGTCCGCAGAAGCCCATCTCAGCATTAGTTGGTAGAACCACATCTCACATGCATAGGCAGAACCACATCTCAGCATCTGTCCGTAGAAGCCCATCTCAGCATTCGTTGGCAGAACCACATCTCACATGCATAGGCAGAACCACATCTCAGCATCCATCCGTAGAAGCCCAACTCAGCATTCGTTGGCAGAACCACATCACATCATCCTTTGGCAGACCCACATCTCAGCATCTGTCCGCATAATCTCATCTCAGCATTCGTTGGCAGAACCACATCTCACATGCATAGGCAGCACCACATCTCAGCATCCGTACGTAGAGGCCCATCTCATCATCCGTTGGCAGACCCACATCTCAGCATCTGTCCGCAGAAGCCCATCTAAGCATTCGTTGGCAGAACCACATTTCACATGCATAGGCAGAACCATATCTCAGCATCCATCCGTAGAAGCCCATCTCAGCATTCGTTGGCAGAACCACATCTCATCATCCGTTGGCAGACCCACATCTCAGCATCTGTCCGCAGAAGCCCATCTCAGCATTAGTTGGCAGAACCACATCTCATCATCCGTTGGCAGAACCACATCTCAGCATCTGTCCGTAGAAGCCCATCTCAGCATTCGTTGGCAGAACCACATCACAGCATCTGTCCGCAGAAGCCCATCTCAGCATTCGTTGGCAGAACCACATCTCATCATCCGTTGGCAGAAACACATCTCAGCATCTGTCCGTAGAAGTCCATCTTAGCATTCGTTGGCAGAACAACATCTCACATGCATAGGCAGAACTATATCTCAGCATCTGTCCGCAGAAGCCCATTTCAGCATTCGTTGGCAGAACCACATCTCATCATCCGTTGGCAGAACCAAATCTCAGCATCTGTCCGCAGAAGCCCATCTCAGCATTCGTTGGCAGAACCACATCTCATCATCCGTTGGCAGAACCACATCTCAGCATCTCTCCGTAGAAGCCCATCTCAGCATTCGTTGGCAGAACCACATCTCACATGCAAAGGCAGAACCACATCTCAGCATCTGTCAGCAGAAGCCCATCTCAGCATTCGTTGGCAGAACCACATCTCATCATCCGTTGGCAGAACCACATCTCAGCATCTGTCCGCAGAAGCCCATCTCAGCATTCGTTGGCAGAACCACATTTCACATGCATAGGCAGAACCACATCTCAGCATCTGTCCGTAGAAGCCCATCTCAGCATTCGTTGGCAGAACCATATCTCACATGCATAGGCAGAACCACATCTCAGCATCCATCCGTAGATGCCCATCTCGTCATCCGTTGGTAGACCCACATCTCATCATCCGTTGGCAGACCCACATCTCAGCATCTGTCTGTAGAAGCCCATCCCAGCATCCGTTGTCAGAACCACATCTCATCATCCGTTGACAGAAGCACATCTCATCATCCGTTGGCAGAAGCACATCTCATCATCCGTTGTCAGAACCACATCTCATTATCTGTCGGTAGAAGCCCATCTCACCATCCGTTGTCAGAACCACATCTCATTATCTGTCGCTAGAAGCCCATCTCACCATCCGTTGTCAGAACCACATCTCATTATCTGTCGGTAGAAGCCCATCTCATCATCCGTTGACAGAAGCACATCTCATCATCCGTTGGCAGAAGCACATCTCATCATCCGTTGTCAGAACCACATCTCATTATCTGTCGGTAGAAGCCCATCTCACCATCCGTTGTCACCATCCGTTGTCAGAAGCCCATCTCACCATCCGTTGTCAGAACCACATCTCATTATCTGTCGGTAGAAGCCCATCTCACCATCCGTTGTCAGAACCACATCTCATTATCTGTCGGTAGAAGCCCATCTCACCATCCGTTGTCAGAACCACATCTCATTATCTGTCGGTAGAAGCCCATCTCACCATCCGTTGTCAGAACCACATCTCATGATCTGTCGGTAGAAGCCCATCTCACCATCCGTTGTCAGAACCACATCTCATTATCTGTCGGTAGAAGCCCATCTCACCATCCGTTGTCAGAACCACATCTCATCATCCGTTGGCAGAACCACATCTTATTATCTGTCGGTAGAAGCCCATCTCACCATCCGTTGTCAGAACCACATATCCGTTGGCATAACCACATCCCATTATCCGTTGGCAGAAGCACATGTCATCATCCGTTGTCAGAACCACATCTCAATATCTGTCGGTAGAAGCCCATCTCAGCATCCGTTGGCAGAACCACATATCATCCGTTGTCAGAACCACATTTCATTATCCGTTGGCAGAAGCACTTCTCATTATCCCTTGTCAGAACCACATCTCATTATCTGTCAGTAGAAGCCCATCCCAGCATGCGTTGTCAGAACCACATCTAATGATCCATTTGCAGAACCACATCTCATTATCCGTTGGCAGAAGCACATTTCATTATCCGTTGTCAGAACCACGTCTCAGCATCCGTTGTCAGAACGGAAATTCAATATTACATCGCAGTAGTTGTGAAAATACCCAACCAGGCGTTAAAATAACATTCACCATGGATCGTTGATTCCTGTGTCCATGCGATACCTATAAACTACCCGAATCGACACCCCAGCCAGACAAAATACCCGTGTCGGTGTTAAGTGGAGGACGAAAGGAATCTGTCTAAAACGGAAGAGGCTCAACCGATTCAACTCGGGTATTAAATTTATGACCCTAAATTGGGGGTGTAAGAAGAAATAGGTGCTGAATTGGAACTAAAGGAGGGCAAAAAGGTAGTTTATATATAATTTTTTTTTTTACTTATGTCTAAAAAAATAAGAGAAGAAAAGATTCTCACTACAAAATAGCGAATTATACTTCCAAATGAGATGTATTAAGAGTAACAATAAATCGTATTTGATAATTTATACTTATATTTTCTTACGGGGAGACGTGGGGCAAGTGAAGAATCCAGAGAATACCATGTAACGAACATGTGAGTAACGTGGAAGCTTCAAGGAAAATGGAGGCAAAACGGATGCTTGAGGAATGAAAGCTTCAATAATTTGACACTCATGGGACATATTAATGGCAAGAGAGGCGAAAGCAGGACAGAACGTACCTACTAAACTTGTGTAAAGTGTTGGTAGGACAGGGATGGGGAGATATAGCAAAAAGAAAAATGAAAAAACTTTACTAAGAACTAAAAAGGAGAGAATATTGTGGAGAACCATGATCGTTCACTTCTTGAGCAGGAAAGAAGTACAGAAAAGAAGACGCTTTTACAGATACAAGAGAAATACATTTAAAAACTAATACAAGTAGCCTATCAGTCTTGTTCAACGAAACGTATTAAAAAGGGTTGAATTTTTTTCATCACGCCCACGTCACTGCCGAATCTGACACAAGGTCGAGGCTTAAAGTAGGCTTAACGGCAACAACGTGAACAAATTGCTCAGGCTGCCCCTCCTCGACACTTTTCCTTTTAAAAAATCACCCAAGCTGTCCTCTCCTTTGGGAGGGGAGCTTGGGTGATTTTCCCTTGGATTTCCCTGGGATGTCTCTGGGGTTTGAATTTAATATTATTTCGAAACTACCCAGCCGAAAACAGTGAAGTATTAAAAGGGATTGCTGTCAAAGACCCAAATACATCGACACACACACATATATATATATATATATATATATATATATATATATATATATATATATATATATATATATGTGTGTGTGTGTCGATGTATCGACACATATATATATATATATATATATATATATATATATATATATATATATATTTATATATATATATATATATATATATATATATATGTGTGTGTGTATGTGCGTGTGTGTTCGTGTGTATGTATGTGTGTGAATCAATTACTTATGGCGTTGTTATAGTGTATATGCAGTTGTTTTGTGTGCGTATGTGTATCTGTTTATGCATGTACGTATGTGTGCATGTATGTGTACGCGAACTCATTAGGTCGCTGTTAGAATGCATGTGTATGTGTGCGCGTATGTATGTGTGCGTACATAGTATTGACGTTGCGAGTGAAAATGAATAGTGATGTTGGAGTAGCAGGTCCGCATGACAGGAAGAGGTTCTTGCTTAATGGCTGACACCCTGGTCGGATGGAAAGGTTAACTGGTGAAAACATGTCCCAAACAGGATAACGAAAGCCTCAACATCCCCAGGGACGTCTGCTCGGCATCATGAGAGAGTTTTATTTATATATATATATATATATATATATATATATATATATATATATATATATAAATATAAATATATATATATATATATATATATATATTTATATATATATATATATATATATATATATATATATATATATATATGTGTGTGTGTGTGTGTGTGTACATTGTGTATTTGGGCAACTATCCCTCTTTTATACACGTTTGATTTAAAACTACTGACAAGGTACTACGATTAAGTTTTTCATTTAATTATTCTTATAATTATTTTTCTTTTCTATTATGTAGAAATTGTTCGAATGTTCTGTATCTCCTAGCGCTTTCGGCTATTCTTTTAGCCATTGTCACGGATAATTTTATTTTACTATTAACTGAATGTATGGATTTTTTTATGTATTTAACTAGAGTTATAGGCTTTATTTTCCAAACACGATCATCACATTGTGGCTGTGGTATTAATGAGTGTTGTTTTTTTTTGTTTTTTTTAATAACGCTTTTTTGCATGTGAATGAGGCCATTATATTTGTATTATCAACGAGTATGTTGCTGATGGAGTTTGGTTGATCTTCCTACCTATTTAAATGAGACCATATCCTTCTCTGAACTCCTTCAATCTATCTGTGAGAAAATTGTTGACTTTAAAAAATGACTAAGATGGAAGGCGTACTTCTATTTCAATCATCATGAAACTAAAAACAACAAATCGTAAACCTACAACTTAAAATCCCAGAATTCTCCACCATCCTGTAAATCTCTGGAAACATTCGAAAAGGATCTGTTTAACATTGTCAAAAACATGAAATTTTGTAGAAACTTTAACTCTTTAGAGAAGACCCTAAACAAGGACACTGATATAATTAAAACTCGAAAGAGCAGAATTATCAAAAAAACATGCAAACGTGATTATACTAAATACTATAAAATCCTCAAGGACAAAATTACCGATAATTATAAAAAAGAAAGATTTAATAATAGATTTTTTGAGATGGACAATATAACAGCTAAGCTAACTATTAAAAGTCAATATTAGCGATAGAATGGTGAAGATCCGTACCAAACACGCACATATATTATAGGCCATAAACCCAATTTCTCGAATAATAGCCAATCTACGTTGATCAATCCAACTAAGTCTGAGCTAGGGATAATTTCAAAAAATATAATTATAAAAAAATTACGGATAAATTTCTAATTTCAACTGGTGTCAATCTTTGGAAAGACACATCGGATACCATTGAGTGGTTCAGTAATACGGGGGTGGAGAAGAAGAGAGCTATGTTTATTAAATTCAATATCATCGACTTTTACTCCTTTATTTCTAGTGACCTTTTGAATGATTGCACTATATCGTGATATATGATGAAGATATCAATATCATATTTGAGACCAGGAAGACAATTCTATTTCTTAATGACTCCAACTGAATGAAATGTGGTTATAACGATTTTGACGTTCCAACGGGGCATATAATTTGGCACAAGTAGCTGATCTTGTCTGTATTTACATTTTGGAGATAATTGGTAGATTCATTGAACCGGAACTAGTCGGTCTATACTACTTATGTCCTCAATAGTAATGGTCTTCTTACTGTTAAATTACAGAAAAAAAATCATTAGTGCTTTTAATCTCCTGGCATTCAAGATAGAGATCACTTCCAATATGAAAATAGTCGATTACCTTGACATCATATTTAAATAATAATACATTTAAACCTTACCATAAGGAACACGAAACATTAACTCGAACCACATCAATATCATTTTGAAGCAAATACCAATTGGTTCTAGAATCAATAAATTGTCATCTAATAAGAATATATTTGATAAGAATAAAGCATTGTTCAAAAATGCCCTCCAGAAAAGTGGTTTTGCACATAAACTATCTTACTTAAACCCCACAAATAACCATGGTGAGGTTAAGAGTAGTAATCCACGCAAAAAAAGGAAAAATAAATATTATTTGGTTAAAGCCCCCTTCCCTTCTCTAGATTATTTAGAATAAACATTGGACAAATTTTCATGAAATTTATAAACAAACATTTTCAAAATAACAACCCGCTAGGCAAGATCTTCAATAGAAAAACCATTAAAATAAGTTATTCATGTACTTACAACATGTTTAGAGTAGACTCCCACAACAAGTATATCCTTAATAATTTCAGTGGTGTCAACAAGAATTCTAATACCCCCCTCCCCCTGTAATTGTAGAAATAGCAACCTTTGTCCATTCGAGGGAAAATGTAGAGCATTTAATGTTATTTATCAAGCCACCATTTACCCAAAAGAAAATAAATCAAACCACCAAGTTTATATTGGGATTTTCGGCGGGGGAATGGAAAAAAGACTTTATAACCACAGACACACATTTTCCAACCCAAGATTAAAACACCAAACTATCTCTCCCAAATATTTTGGTAATTGAGAGTGAAAGACCCGAACCCTCAAAGTGACTGGGAATTTATAGGTTTTGCCCAGACTCCAAATAGCTTTAAGGGTAAATTTATGTTTGGAGGAAAAAATTAAAATCATTAAATTTAAGAATCAAGATATTCTACTAAATAAAAAGAATGAATTGGTATCCAAGTGTTGCCATAGAAAAAAATTCCAACTGACATGACATTATTTCAATCCCAAACTCCAAGTGTTGCCACAGGAACAAATTTAAGCTAACATAGTATCAGCCAAACCTTGCACTTCTCTCTTTCATTTATATTTTAATATGTGAATTTTTTTTCTGTTGTGACATCTTTCGTATATGTAATTTTTTTCTGTATGTGAAATTGATTTTGAGATATGGAATTTTCATTTTATATCTAAATATTTCTCTCCCTGTTAAATATTTTCTATATGTGGAATTTTCTTCTATATTTATTTTTATAATACTAAATTATTTTATATATTGAATTTAAATTTAATCCTTTACAGTATTTTTAAATAATTAGTATAAATGGGATATAATTTAAATTACAAACTTAGTAATTGAACATCTTCTTTTTGTCATCATTATATTTCGATTTGTGCTATGATCACATTACCTAACAAGTCAGTGGGAATACCTAAAGCAGGTAGTGGTGTGTTGTTATGGCTACATTTCATGGTTTGTTCTAAACTCCATAACATTACTAGCATTACATGGACAAAGTTCTTCTTAGCATGTAGGCTATACTCATCAAGACAATTTTATTGTATTTCTCTTAAGCTGGGATTTCCAGGGCGTTTTTCGATGTTGTTATCTTCTTTTTTTATCATTCCAAGCGCACCTACTAAGACTACATATTTACGATGTATTTTGGACCTTAATGGAAATCACTCTTTCTTCTAATTATATATATATATATATATATATATATATATATGTGTGTGTGTGTGTGTGTGTGTGTGTGTGTGTGTGTGTGTGTGTGTGTGTGTGCGTGAATGTTAGTAAGCTGCAGAATGGCATCCGAACCGTAAGGATCTATTGTAGAACAGCAATTTCAACGCACTGGTTGTTCACTGTTACATAACTGACCACAATTTCGATCTAGTAAATGCCAATCTTATTAGAAGAGGGAATCTTTTACTAAGAAGAAAATGCATTGATAATGCACTGATCTCCCAATTCTCTACGATGAACCTCAGACCAGGCTCATACACAATATCACCTATCTTCTCAAATGCAATAGTAGCACAATTCAGTATACGAGCTAATAGAGAAAAAAGAAAAACGTGATCTTCTCGGAGTTGTCTAATTTCAAATCTAGCAAATGCTATCTGATATGGGTGTTTATTATTTGTTTCTCAACATTTCAACGCATTTTCATTACACACAGGTTTGTCTCTCATTCCAACCTGAAACACCCGACATAAACTGGTGAAACGCGTTATCTGAAGAGATTTACCTTTTTTGGCATACTATACCAATAGATGAAGTCATGGTGAAGTAATCGATTGAGGAATCGGAAAGCCGATTTCGAATTCCAGTGCATTCACTTACGTGCTAATAACCCTTCAGAAAGGTATGAATCCATCTCTTCTCTCCCAGGGTAAATAGCAGGACAGACCGGGTCCTATATCCTTGAGTAGTGAACGGTCAAGAAGGACAACTCTGAATTCGAAACCTGCAGAAGGTCGTCTGGGGATCCTGTGGCATACGGTGCACTAGTTCTCTGTATTCGACTCTCCAAACAATGTGTTTGGTTCTGCATAAAACTTCACCAATATAATCAAAAGATATGTGCTCGCAGTCTGGCTGTTGCTTCTAAAGCGACGGGCGAGTCATGTAAATAGTGTAAACAATGATAACTTTTCATCCGCAAAATCTAGACAGAAATCAACCGACAAGGTCAGTGTGATTAATTTTTATTGCATTTTTCTAATATTTTATCTAAGATATTGACTATCAGGATCGAAATTGTGGATAAACTATCCGAAATTCATTTTTTTTCTGTTCTACTTTTGACCAACTCAGTCATTATCAAGAACCATGTGTTGTCAGTGTTAGTAGATAAGATTCCATTGACGGAATCCAGGCATTTTTATAGAGCTAAAATGAAACTGTCTAACGTGACGTCAGGTGTAAGGGTTAGAGCGAGCGTGACAGCACCAGACGAATATGTATAAAATATTATTTTTATTCTTATACATTCCTCATGTCGCCGTGGATTACATTCATATCACATTGAAATACCGGTTTCCATACGATCACGGAAGTTAAGCAACGTCGAGCCTGGTCAGTACTTTGATGGAAGACCGCTTGGGAATGCCAGATGCTGTACGCTTGGATGTGTGGACGGTGTAATAGAAATGGCTCAGAATTGTTAATCGGAGAGCGGAGTTCCAATTTTCGTTGGATTCGTCATATTCCCTTACACGCAAATAACCTTGGGAAAGGTATGATTCCACCTCTTCTCCTTCCAGTAATTGGTTAATTACTAAGACTAGTATCACTAAAACCCTTATTGTCTAAAAAAAATTAGGTTTGATAAGCCGTAAAAAACAAATCCATCAAGATATCGTTCACTGCAGCAAAAGATATTTATTGTAGATGGTTTCATTTGTATAATAATGGCTTTTAAGATTTTGGGCCTTTCTTGCTTTGATTCTAATATTTGTCTTATAGTGATAGCAGTGTTTTGGGTGTTTGTGATACGATGATCTATATGTGTACGAATTGCACTGAGTTTTTACAGGTGACGAGTTAGATTACGAGATAGTGTAGTGCATGAGTGGCCAATGTAAGGAAAAATATACACAAATGATGTACAGATACAGTGGTTAGCGGATCGGAACCAGAAATCGACATGCCTAATTGGAATTCCGATCGAGCTTGCACAAAGACCCCGCCATGGGTTAAATAGAAGCGTAAGTTGAACTACATAGCCTTCGCTGGCAACCAGTCTAGAGGAAGGAGAATTCAAGATCTGCGCGTGTATTTACTGTGTATAATGTGAACTCGTTCTCTTTCAAAAAGTGTGACTACTGCTGCACAAAGCTGTTGACTCCTATAATCAAATCTTATGTGCAGTCAAAATTTAATAAGATTCGCATGGTCATAATAGCAGGACAGCCGGAAAGGTACCGAACCCCGTACAGTAATCTGCTAAACCTCACTTTAGGGTAGACGCCTGTACGTGTGCCTAAGACGGTGGATAAGGAACAAATTGTCGATTGTGCTTACAATTTTGAATTCTAAGACAAAAATCACATTGTTTTATTTTTTAAATCTTTAATCTGCACACACACACACACACACACACACACACACACACATATATATATATATATATATATATATATATATATATATATATATATATATATGAAGGGGCACTGAAAATTTGCTAGTTCTGCCCAAATAACCAAATGCTCAAACATAGTAAATTATAACAATCTCACTCACTTCCGTCGTTTATAGCAGTGCTTGGAAGGAAAGTGTGTAGAGTGTAGTCGTCTCCTTGATTGAGTCGAAGAAGGCGAAAACCTTTTCAAAATGTAGATAACATATGGCGAATCGTAGTTCTGTGGCTATCGCCCCGAAACCAAAGCGTATTCTTAGCAGTGGAAGCCCTCTCTAACCTCCCCAAGACTGAAGAAATGCGATGAAGCAATATGAAGAAATTGTGGACAGTTTTCTTCGACTACGTCATGAGTATGATCCACCTGGTCACAAAGTAAACATGAAATTGAATGCTTGTTTATAAATATTCGAACTGACGACGAAGTCAAAAAGTGAGTACATTTTGGGGAATACTATATATATATATATATATATATATATATATATATATAAGGGAAAAATGTTAAACCCAGCGTATGTCGACATTGAATATGATCTCACATGTCTTCAATGTGATAAGAAAGGCCTAAGTAAAGCTGGCTTCAAAAGTCACCAGCGAAGTCAGATGAACCGCAACGTTATTAACTCCATTGAGAATGGTTTGGAAATATGTAGACGTTGTGGAAAAGAGTGCACTTCAATGGGAGGCATAAAGAGACACATGAATATTCATAACAATAATAAGAAAGCAGCAGCAGAATACGCCATGGATCTTTTCAACTGTAACGTTTGTGGTAAACAATGCCAGTCCCTGGATTGTTTAAAGAGTCATATAAGAGCAGGACATGTATAGATTAATCAGGCGACGGCAATGCTTGAGAACGAGTTTACGGCCATCATATATATATTTCGATCCCGGCTTGAAGCAATCGGACGTCTAGTGATACAGCGAAACAGTCTGTCTGGAGATGACTATATATATATATATATATATATATATATATATATATATATATATATATATATAGTTGGATTGATGAGTTTATGACCCTGGGTTTCACGCTTTTTGCGACCGTCAGACGATCGCAGAAGCGTGAAACAAGGATCACAAACTCACATCAATCCAACCAAATATGTTAGCTCTATCTCTGATATTGAGCACTTTTGTAATAAGTACTGCGCATATAATATATAAATAATATATATATATATATATATATATATATATACACACACACACATATATATATATATATATATTTATATATATACATTTTTCACACACACACACACACAGACACACATATTTTATATATATATATATATATATATATATATATATATATATATATAATTCGTCAAATGGGTAAAAAGGGTGTCCTACCTTCTGATATAGCTAGCGATATTAGACAATCGGGCTCAATTCGTTTCCCATTTATACGGTTTGCCTAAAACCCGTAAGGCAGGTACCCCACTCAGACCAATTATGTCTATAGTGGTGCCAACTCAACAGCAGGTTGCCAAATGACCCACTATTACAAGCTGTATTGCAATATTACAGTTGTCATTGGATAAAAGACTTTTTCTTTTGCAAGAGATATTGGAAACTGTAATTCGACTAATAAATTTATGTATTCGTTCGATATCAACGACCTATCTACCTTTGTCCCCATTTCAGAAACAATAGATATCTGCACAGATTTGCTATATCGTAGCCGGATATCTCCATCTGCCATTCTGGAAAAATATTTTTGTTAAGTTGCTAAAATTTGCTGTGACGTCTGTTGAATTCAGTTTTAATAACACAATGTAAAGACAGATCAATGGTGTTTCTATGGGTTCAGTCCTAGGGTCTACATTGGTGAATATTTTTTTGGTTTCTATGAAAATCGTTTATTTTCTGAAACTGCCAAACCACTAATGTACTATCGCTAGGTTGATGACAAATTTTGCCTCTTTGAAAATATAACGGAGGCAAAAATTTTCTTGTCACTTCTTAATGGTATGCATCCGGCATTAAGGCACACTATGGGAATTGAAACTAATTCCACGATACCTTTTTTGGATGTCTTAGTAACTAAAACACCATCCGTTTATATCACATCAATCTATCGTAAGCCAACTTTTACCGGACTGTACATTCGAAGGGATGTATTTTGAACTAACAAACGCAAAAGAAAATCTTATTAGTACCCTTACACATAGAGCTTTGATGATCTGCTCAGAATCTAAGCTAGATGAAGATCTGAAAGCAATTAGTAAGACTCTAGCTAATAATGGATACCCTTTGGATATTATTAAGTCGGTCATGAAAAAGAAAATTTCTCTAAACTCAGACCGAGTATGGCTTCTAAATGCCTTGCGTATTTGCGTTTGCCCTGGTTGGGTTCAATAAGTGGTAAATTTGTCAAACAATTCAACTCAACGGTTAAAAATTGCTATTTTTCCGCCAATGTGCGTGTTGTTTTTTTTCTACCAGGTCTCCTTGGGTGTCTGTTCGGAAGGATGTTCTGCCTCCCCACCATATTAATAATGTAATATACCGTTTTGAATGTAGTTGCGGAGCTGACTACATAGGTAGAACTACCTTTATGGTTAGACGCACGGATTAATTAGCACGTACCCGGAAGAATTAGGAATGGTACGTTCCAATCTGGTGACAAGATCAGGAACACATACGGCTCCGCCATTGCTGAGCATCTCATAAACAATCCAAGTTGTGCCACAAATTTCAGCATTGATTCATTTTCCATCCTTAGTCATGCTCATTCTGTGCTTCACTTAAAAGTATTGGAAACGATCTATGTCAGTTCCAGGCAGCCCTCCCTCTGTAAACAGAGGGAATGCCTGTAAGGGCTTGACATGATTTCCATCTGATCTTCCCACCTTTATTTTATCACATGCTTCTCATGCTTTTATATTTTATATTGCAATATTTAGTCTTCCCTCTGGGCGAAACTGGTCGGCTGGTCAATTTTTAAGTTTAGAGGCTTATAAACATATTATGTCGTTCAACATAGAGAAAAACACTGACAATATTGTTTTATTAATAATGTTTGTATTAGTCATCAAAATTATTATTATTATTATTATTATTATTATTATTATTACTGAGCGTGAGAGCAACACGGCAAAAAGTGACGCTGGGGTAAAAATATACCCATGATTACACCCACCCTGATAAGGGTATACGTGTCACCTGAATCACAGCCTTTGATGAAAAGCCGAGCATTATTTTGCAGATTAGATTTTGCCCAGTTAGATTTTTATTTCTTCGGTCAAATCAACTAAGACATTCCTCAGTCTACCATTCCAGCCCTCACGGTCCTGTATCAAGGTTGGAATGTCATTAGGGTGGCATTCTGTGTCATAACATAACTGGTCAATGTAAGTGGCTGCTGGGCGACCAACCCGTTTTACGCCATAGCTAGGTATCCAGAACAGTAGATCATTCAGGATTTCTTGTTTTCCTCTCCAGCGATATCCTGCGAGATTATAGAGATATCAGGGATGGCTCCATAAATGCAAACGTACCCTGATGGAAGACGACATTCTCTCAATGGGCCAATCGATTACTACCTTTAATCAGTCCAATTGGAAACAAAACTTAACTGAAATCAGAGTCTGATTTTTGCGGAAGGAGTTCGTAATTAAAATAAAAATACCCTTCCGCCTTCTCTGAAGACACAGTACCACCTTCATCAGATGCAAACAGGTTTTTGGGGTCATTAATTGAGAAATCAGAAACATGGTTTGAATTCCAGTCACGCTCGTTACATTCACTTACGCGCAGATATCTTGGGGTATGAATCCATCTCTTCTCTCGACACCCAGCTATGGGTTAAATAGCATGACAGACGGTGTAACCAATTTACGGTAGAAAGAAACGTCAACCTACTGTGGAAAAATATTCTGCCTACTCAGTCATGAATCGAAAAAGACGTGATCGGCCAAGTGTGTATCACGAATGGCACTCAACTGACTGACTATAATAAATGT